CCAGGAGGGCGGGCGGCCGAGAGCGAGGAGGGACGGAGACCTGGGCGCTGTCCGTTAGCAGTCCCGCAGGAGGGCCTCGTAATTGCTCACCGCGCGGACCGCCCGTCATTAAAGTTCAGGAGACGGGCCAGAGAGGAGCTCCGAGTCGAGGAGGAGGCAGGTGGCGGCGGGGGCTCGGGCTCCCGGCCGGGCCAGGGTTAAGCGCTTGCCTGCTTCCTGCCGCCCGGCCCGCGGCCAGCTCGTCTTCAGCGAGAGGCCAGTCACTGCCAGGGGCTCAGGAGGCAGCCGCGAGGCCGGCCGGACCCCCGCCCCCGTCACGGCCTTCGGGAGGAGGCAGAAAGTGAGGGTTCCTGGGTAGGAAGCCCCCTGCCCAGCCCGGCGCCCAGGGGGCAGAGAGCAAGAGGGGCTGCGGGGACACGGAGATGGCCGCTGAGATTGACTGGCTGGACCTGCCCGGGCGGTGGGCCTACGGAGTGGACAGCGGTGGGAGAATCTTCTTCATCAAGTACGTTGGTCTCTCCCTCCCTCTTTTTTTCTCTTTTTCTTTTTCCGTTTTTTTCTTTCAAGTTGTCCAGCTTGAAAGGTGGTGGGGCTGGGGGCAGGTTGGAGAAGGTGGGGGAAGCCGTGGCTGGAACAGCGGGCGTGACTAATAAGTTTATCACCATGCCGCTTTGAATGTGTCTCCCGCCTTTTCCTCAATAGGTCAAAGTCCAGCAAAGGCTGGGCATTCCCTCAGCCTGGAGAGGCAGGGCAGGGCAGCAGAGAGGCTGCCCTTTCCCCCACTCTCCTGATCTAGAGAGGCCCCTGGGAGGATGACTAGACCAATGCCCAGCCTGGGGTGTTTTCAGCACCTTGGCTGAAAGGGCTAGAGGTGGGTGCTTATAGCTCCCCCTTCCACTTTCCTACAAAGAGATCTGGGCTAAGTGTATATACCAGGGCAGTGCCCTCAGGACAGCACGCCTCTCCTGCCCTGCCCCTTTGTGGGCTGTGGTCAAAAGGGAGGAGAAGATGCCCACCGTATGTTTAGCATTCTATAGAGAGGGTGCGCACCTTTGCTACTCTCAGTAATATGTTAGCACTGTTATATTAATTTCATAAACCAAAATGGCTCTGGCATAATCTCATTATAACAAAGTGGCCCTGCTGGCTTTCTTTTGGCCCGCTCCTACGATAGTCATCTTTTGCCAGGATAGAAACCTCCCAATCATATAGCAAGTCTAGAAGCACAGCATCCTGGCCGTTACCCACACTTGACGAGCTTTCCCTTCCTCAAGACGCTCACAAAACATTAGAGCTGGCAGGAACCTTAGAAGCAACTCCTTTGTTTTTCACATGAGGAGCTGAGGCCTAGAGACATTTAAAGTACCTGTCTAAGATAAAACCACTTGTTAATCTGAGCTCGGACTCAGCCTAGCATCTGCTGACTTGGCGCACTGCTCGCCTCCGTAGCACACTGCCTTTGCAGGGGCTCAGCCAGGCAATGGCTTCTCCTTGGTATTTCTCAGTTTCCACATTTGCTATAAGGCCTTTCTTCTGTAATAATCACCACCATTATCATAATTAATGCTGTAATTATATTATCTTAGAAATCAACACTGCTCATGTTCTTTTCCCTAGGTTAGATTTTTAAATAACGGAACTTCTGCAGTATTAAAACTGGAGTCCTCTGGATCAGTGGCTTGAGACGTGAGAGTCCATAATAGCCCAGGGAACTTACTTAAAAGGAGCATTCCTGATCCCTACCTCAGGAGATTCCTATTCAGAAGATCTGGGGTGGGGCCTTAGAATCTGAGTTTCCACAAGTCCTCAGATGTTCTGATGAAGCGGTTAATTCTGCTCTTCTTTCTTCCCAATCTCTCATTTGCCATCCAGCTTCTTTTTGTCTTCCATTCTACAAACATTCATTGGTATCCACTCTTTGTTTGCTGCAGCGCTAGGTGCTAGACATAAAAAACAATAAGATACAGGTTTTTCCTTTAAGGTAATAGGGGATCAAATATAAATCAGTACTTACAAAATACTGTGATGCATTCTTTTTTTGTTGTTGTTTTTTTGAGTTGGAGTCTCACTCTGTTGCCCAGGCTGGAGTGCAGTGGCACGCTCACAGTCATCTCCACATCAACCTGCTGGGCTCTGGCGATCCTTCCGCCTCAGCCTTCCAAGTAGCTGGAAATACAGGCATGCGCTACCACGCCTGGCTAATTTTTTATGTATTGTAGAAATGAGATCTCGCCAAGTTGCCCTGGCTGGTCTTGAACCACTCAGGATTACAGGCTGAGCCACCGAGCCTATGATGCATTCTTGAGATATTTGCATGACACTGTAGGAACATGATGTGGAAAGAATTAGTGTACCCTGGGGAGTTCAGAGAGGGCCACCCTGAGGAGGAAGTATTTGAACTGATTCTGGAGGAGAGTCAAGAGTGAAAGGGAGCCGGGCTCGGTGGCTCAGCCTGTAATCCCGCGCTTTGGGAGGCTGAGGTGAG